CTTCCTTGGACTCATGTACTTCTCTGGGATTATATAGCTGCTATCTATCTCAGATGTTATAGAATTTTGAGTTTACTAAATTGGGTGAAGTGTGAACCAAAAAAAACAAGCTTACATGTTTGTTTGGGAACACTGGCTTGAGATGCACCAGGAAGACTACTGGCATCATTATTGCCACACACACCTGCTTCAATATCTTTGTCAACTGACATGGCACTGCCTGTACCCAGCGTTGCGGAAGATTTCTCTTGTAGGTAGTCCGATGGAATGATTGTTAAAATTTGGGGTGCCGGATAGACATGGCATTTATACGCCGGATCCAATTTATGTATATCCCACTCATCCATCATACAATATAAGAGCTCCCTAGAGATGTGGTCAGAAATGGAGAGCGCTCAATGGAAAGAGTACCTACCCATTGAGATTAACCAGCCGAGGCCAGAGCCATTTGTCATTTACCTCAGGTTCCAATATTGCTTTTGGAACATATTGCCACGTTAAATCTCCAGAAGGGAAGACCTCAAGAATCCTTCTGTGAGTAATATTACAGCCCTGGGATGTGACATGGTTGTTGTTGGTGGTGAAGTTGTTGTAATTTACAAACACGAGCCTAGAGGCTGGATGCCGCAGTAAGCATGATGACTGCAACGGGTCAATGACGCCAGGTAAAGAGCCGCTAAGGAGTCAAAGGTTAACTTGTGAACACATAATTGAGCAATATGAGGTGTAGAAACACCCCAGATTGCATCAGCCAGCTGAATGAATGAGACTGAGTGCACTGCACTGGCCTTACTAGAAAATAAAATGAGTGTGAGGTGGGAACAACAAATTTTGATATGCAGCAACAGAACAGGAGATCAAAAGGAACTTGAAAGAGTGGGCCATGTACCAAAGTTTATACTACCTGAAAACAAAAGCTCAATGTTAATGTGCTGCCCATCAAGCGGCAGAATGAGTAATGCTGTATGCATTACCTAACTGACGACAGAATGGAGCTGGAGATATCCTTTACCCCTTATTTGGAACACAAAAAGCTCGCACATCAGCAGGCAAGATCCAACCAAACCTAGTAAATGTGTTTGATGTGAGCCAAATTATTCATCAATTATTCTTATTGGGCTTACTTACATAGTTGCTCCATTGCTACAAAGAGAGTTCATTATTGAAAACAGTTAACACAACAGATTTTGATGCAAAAAACACAACTAATAGTTATACATGTACAAGCTATTACACAGCTGACATAAATACATGCACTGTTGTAAAGAATTACTTAGGGGAAAGCTAGATAGTAAGGTAGGTAGACTTACAGTAATAATCTAGAACCACAATGACACAATTTCACCAACAGTTTTGTTACTGTGCTAGAGGAACTTGGGAGTTTTCTTGTTCATAACCATACCCACTTTCCACATCTTCCCACTCCTCAACTCAGCGGTATTGTGGTAGATATATTCTAAGCATTTATGAAACCATTTCTCAGCAGAGCCCAACCAAAAACCAGTATCGAGGCCCCCACCCATAAACACTGGATTCTTTGGTCACTATAATGATTGAGACATTTGAGGTCCATGTCCAGTGTAGACATTGTAAACCCCTGAAATGAGATCCAGCTCTTCCTGAGAGAGACAATCATCAATGAAAAAATGCCCGTCTATAGTCTGAAATATTTTCTTTGGTTCTTAGGCATCACTTGAAGGTCCTGATAAGACAGCTTCTGGGGAAAGGACATCTATAGCCAGATACCATACAATCCCACCTTGCAGTAAAGCAACAGGTCCACAAGTTCTGAGCAGAAGCTTGTTGCAGGCATCCTGATAACAACTATAGTAAATGACATCAGGTTAACCTTCCCTTTGATACCCCAGAGTAACGCAATGAGGTGGGACAACACTGGGCGGTGTTTCCACTTGCAGAAGAGTTTTAAACGGTATAGCCATTGATACAAGCTGTAAAGCAACATTTTCCAAAATAGGCCCAAATCCTCGCCGTATACATTCTATTATAGATGAAGACCTGCTCAGACAAATTTTGCATTTTGGGCTTGTTGCTAAGTCGAGAGAGCTGAGTAAATAGCAGTCTTGCAAATTGTCTTTGAAGCAAATGGTGGTGATTTGAAAAGGAAAGTGTGTCCTTGAATGTAGTTCAGAGAAGAACTGCTCATGTCCCAGACAGGTGACAGTGCACCTCTAGCCCTTTCATATTGACCAAGAGATAGAAAAGCAGATGTGAAGTAGCAAGCAGAGGAGGACCAGCAGGGGAGCTGTGCATCTGAGCCAATATCTCCCAGTATTCCTTTGATGTCTTTCCATTTAATGAGCTCAATTGTGTGACACTTGCCAACTGAGAATATATCTTCTGGTACAAAACCGTAACAAAATTGCATGATATCCTCTGCTGAAGGTACAGTGCACTGAGACACAACCAGATATTCTTGAGCCAAGGACAAGTCAACTCGTAAGGAAGAGGTGATCTGCTCACAAAATTTGGGTGGCATTGGGGCTTGTCCTTTGATTTCCTTGTGATTGCCTTCTCCTGACAACATGTTATCTTGCCCTGCATCCACAACAAAGGTCGTGACATATATCCCAGCAGTGGGAGAAACTGTTGTAATATTTGGGCTGATTTGGAATTGACAACTAACATTGACGGACAACGTCAAATGGCATATGTCTTTGCACCCAGTAAATTGCACCATCATTCTCAACACTCCACGTATAAACACAACACTCCCGTGTCTCTGGCATTGGGAAACTAGATATTAAGATGAAGACGCTGATGGCGACTGGATTCACGAGCGCAAATCACAGTGTTTTTATCATCTCTTCGGGCCATAAAATTTCTCTAATGCTCTCCAGGCCTCTGTTTGCTTCCTTTTTCTACTTGATATTTAGTGTATTGTTATAGTTGTACAAGCCAGCGAGCTGGTCACAGTAGGCAGTGTACATAGACTCCATCTTGTGCTGCATTTGTTTCAGCCATTCTTGCTTGATCCGCTCCTTATCTGCCTTTACTGTGTTCACAGCTCACAATGAAGGGTAGTATTTCAGGATAGGGGCCATCATAGTTGAGGGTTGTATTTGGCTCTGCCCATATATTCTATAATAAAACCATACAGGAACATTGGCTCATATTGTACAGGATACTATTTCAATCCAATCATAGGGTTGTGAAGCGTGTATGAACACCCCGCATTATTTTGTCGACTGGGAAAAGTCACCAACAACTAAGGATCATAGATTTTTAACTCATTCTGGATGAACTTCGCAAGAGTCTTGCAGTACACAAGCCCAAGGTGGGTGAGGATCTTCCAAATGCTTGCCTTGGATGCTTTAGCTTCACTCTGGTGCCCCTTGAGGTATCCGAAGTTTTTAGGAGAGAGGTATGTCTTGCAGTCAAGAGGCCAAAAAATTGGCTGTAATTGCTCGAGAGAACACATCATGAGAGTGATACTATCTTCAAGCCTTGCCCATGACATGTGTACTTTCTTTTCAAGATAATAGAGGCCGTCAATTTTTTTGACCATAATTTTGGAGGCAAGTTTCAAGCAACCAATGAGTGGGCCATCAAATTTGATTTCCAGTGGTGTAAAACCAATGTAGGAGCAGGCGGCAGAAGCCCAACATGGACATGGAACAAGGGCTTCACGAGGGTGCATGCTAGCACAAAGGACATCATCCGGAGATGGAAAGATGCATAAACGCAAAGAGTCTTATCCAGATGAATGAAGGAGTGGTCTGTTGACTGCGCCATTTGTATGTAGTACAATGGGGATGATTTTTAGTTTATGAAGTGATAAAGGACCTTGTCCTGTTCTTGGGAGGGGCTTTCAGGTATTCTTCCTCTCTAAAACATCTGTGGTGTATAAACACCGCAGACGCAGAGGATCAATCAGTGGTGGTGGTCCAGAATGAAGTAACTTGAAAGCTGGTGGCAGATGAAGACGTGCAAATCATTTGTCATGTGTGATGACCAAATATGGGAAAGGCCTGTTGCGTGACTGTGACCATGACATGTCCGAGTCCCCATCGCCCAATCATTTCCCACTGCATCTCTATCATGTTATCGCACAATGCAACTAGGGGGTTTCTACCTCCCAGTCATACATTCTTTGTGGACAATAAACCTAGGCCCAGGACCACTGCAATCTCAAATTGGAGAGTGCTACCCATGTCAATTATCTGAGCTATCACAGGGCAGCTGTTTGTTGTGTGCTAGGTCATCTGGGGTGCTCCTACCTCCCAAATGCTGCTGCTATGGCTCATTTTTGCCATTGTCCAGTTATTTCACGTGAGTTGACACCCTTGTTACTTCTAAGTGATAGTAGGGGGGCCTTACATTCAACCATAAGGATATTTCACAGCACCATAGTATATACATCTATGTACAAGTTACAACCTGCGTACTAACCTTGAACCATCTGAACTGTTCCCTCAATACCCGCAGAGTCAGTTTGCGATAGCTGGCGCTTTGATTATCCAGCCAATCCTTGTCGTAAAGTACCTTGGGAAGGCTACAAGCTGGATTGCATTTTGTTAGCGGATTCTTGTTGCTCCGCCTTTGTTTGGCCGGCTTGAAACCTCACTGCAAGTAAATGTTGTCATCTTGCAATATTGTCTTATCAATAATTCCAAGCTCTTTCTTGATGTTCCTTTGCCAAAACATCACCTTCACCCTATATATTTTTTCCACCATTCCCTCATCATCACTCTCCACATTGCTCTCTTCTGAGCTCATACTGTCCTCTCCCAGACAATCAATCATGTCTTGCAGCCATTTTCATATTATAGTGTCTAGTGCACCACTATGCTTCTTGGTTTTGATAACCATCTCCAGTGTTTGTTTTGGACGTTTAAATTTCTATGAGATCTCAGTCAACAGTTCCCAAGAGCAAATAACGGGCTTACATTACTTCATCTTTCCCTTTGTCTTGCTTAGTTCAACCTATCATCCTATTGTGTAATCAACTCTTCTCAACTTCCTGCCATGTTTCTACTTCATCATCTGAATTGACTTGCTGCTTTCCAGTACAATTTAACCCTATTAAATTCATCAATAATTAAATCTTCTAAATAGCTGTCTGGAGCTTCTGGTAGATGCCATTTGTTTTTTGCTTGCTTCAGGTATTTGAGAAGATATTGGAATATCTTCTTGTTCCACTCAAAACCCACGTCTCCCCTCATATTGAAGTGTATGTCTTCTCTGTTGGGCCCAGTAGCATTTTCATCACCTCTGTTATACACAAGTACATTGCTTCTGACTGCAGAATTGTGTATAGCAAATTCTTCGTCCTGGCCAACATCAAACTTGGACTTGAACAAGCGCCGCATCAGCCTCTATTTTATTGTAAGCTTCGTCCTAGGTTGTGTTGTGTTCACTGACTGACCATATATTGTATATGTAGCGCCTTGCTATTTTGGAACTGTTGGATTTCTGCCGCTTTCTGTTTCTGTTGGCGGTGTGGAGAGCCACTCTGATTTTGTAGGCTCTGTGCACTCTGTGCAAGAGAGGCCAGAGCGGGGAAGGCCCAACACATTGCCGCTTCCATCATACTGATGAACCTTGCATCATCCCCTTTGTCCTTTGGAATTGACTCTCCTTGTCTGGGAGACTATGAAGGCCCTGTATTGGCATCAAGCCCCGGATGTGACGACACCAACAAGACACAGTCTTGGGGCACTGGAGCACAATGAAAACAACACTCAAAAGAAGAGGAAGAGGTGGGAGTGGTTACCCATTTGGTAGGAACAAGTTAGTTGTTGGTAGACAACAGGAGGATTCGCTGAGTCCTTCCCCATGTATTGCTCCTGTATATATACTAAAATACATGAGGTACTGTACAGTTGTAAATAAAGTTTAAAGTCCGATGTCTAGCATGTGACCGGTCACATGCTAAATCTAGACACTGGTCAGGTGTTGTGTCACATGACTATGAACAGTTCAAAAATGTAAAGTAAAGTAAATGGTCACATGACTGGTCATGTGACTTGGAAAAATAAAAGTAATACAAAAAAGGTGAAGTGTAAGTAGATACTGGTACGTCAATTCTAACACCGGAGGTTCCTGTGACCCCTTTCCCTTTCATTGTGAGTAACAAATATACAATATTTACCCTTTTACTCACAACTTTGTGCGCTACCAATGTTGTTCTCGCAGATTATCTATAATGCTTCCTCAATACGCGGGTCATTACACGGCTTTGGGGAGTTGATTGGAAATAGTGTGTAGTAGATTGCAGATTGATTGTGTTGGAACCTTTGGTTGCTTCCTGGGTCTGACTACCACTATTGTGCATCTCGGAGGTATTACTCAGGTCAGCATGCCTCGTCTTATTTCTCTTCTCCCCGCATAAGTATGAATCTCTTAATGTGACAGGCAAGCAAAACAATACCTCTTTCTGGACAAGCTGCTTGAGCTTCTGTGTGAGATTGGCAATTGTAGCCGTCTTTTCCACCTTCATCTGTGCTATGTTGAGCTTCAGTCATTTTTTGGCCTTTGCTCTCTCTTTGTCAATTTTCCTCCTGTGCATCTCCTCTCGTTCTAGCAATGTTTTGTTAAAATGTGCTTCAATAATTGTTCTCCATTCACTTTGGCCACTAGTTGTCCTTTTAAGCAGCTTCAACTATATTATAACTATGACCTTTACAGCTATAGGAGCTATGTAGGCTACCATAGGCTATAAAAGCACTTATAGTACCTTGCCTATAATAATATACTTGAATCCAAACACTTCTAGCCTGTTTCTATTATTGAACAAGTTTATTAGATTAATCCAGAGTTTGAGGGAATTATAGATACTTCTCCCCTTGGTTGAAATTTTGCCTACTACTGTGCTATAAGAGCTATAAGAGCTATGATTGCACTAATAGTACTATAGTATCTATGAGTGCATTTATATATATAGGTGGTGGCTATATAGCGCTATATAGCAAAAGGGTTTTTCCTGATGCAAGAAGCAAAAAATGGAGTGGTACAAGGAATAGCTGCTTGGTTATTGGTGGGTCTGAAGTTGGAAGAGACTCAGTAAGTCCCCAGGCCCCTGGGATCCTGGGAATACTGATTAGCTCTACCTAACAGGATACAGCTGCAAATATATGCAAAACAAATCAACAAAAAGGGCACAACCACAAAAAAATTGGAGTTAGAGGAAAGGCGTCAACACCTGCTCTCCCGTGTAGATGCTCTCAACCTCAATGTTGAAATATATCTAGGTAATATTGATGTTGTCAAATTTCTTGAGGAAGTCCCAGGGTGGCCAAATTCCAACAAAGTCAATGATGCAGAAGACATAAATCTGTTTGACCTCCCAGGTTCCTTCAATGGCAATGATGGGCCTATTGAGAGGAGAAAATTGGTGTTACAATCCAACTTAGGGTGATATGTATAATGACCCTTCTATACAGGACCCCGAGATGTGTGGGTGTGGGTTTTTAGGAGAAGGGATAGTTGGATGATGAAAGATAGGGGCTTGTGACAAGTAAAGACAAGCACTACCTTGCTAATCATAGTACAAGGTAGGTTTAAGAATGACAAAATGACGAGGTTCCCAGTGATAGCAGGCTCCTGTTGCACAGACTGTAGTGCTCAGAAGGACTCTAATCAAAAGAGATGACAGTGATTTCTGTAGTGGCAAGTGAATACATAACCATATTAACAACAAAAAAAAGCCTTGGAAACACTTTGTACTTGGTGTACTAACCTTGAGCATTCTTCAGCAAAGCCACACAGCATAGCAGCAACTTATACTAACCATAAATTGTTGCCAGGTTAAGATTGGCCTATTTCTCTTATAAAAAAACCAACAGCTCATCTAAATTCCAACATTACAAAGCACTCTGTGCACTATATGGGCACTTACTGCAGGAATTTTTTATCATTGCAGGTCAGATACATCAGCAATATTTTCATTCTTGATGGCTTACTTAGCTTTATGTACTAAAAATCATTAGGACTTCATTGTGGGAGGTTCAAACAGTGAAAAACTTGTGTCAAAGTGTCTATGTAGAAAAAAGTTCATGTAAAAAGTATGTTATCTTCATGTGTACCTTCTTTGAAAATTCTGAAAGTTAAGTGGCTACTATTCATTCTCAATGGCAATATCTCAAAGCACATCACTTCTGTGTGACAGCAACAGCATTTTTCAGTAGACATATATACTGAATACTTAGTATAAGTAATATTCATGGTTTTACTGCTTAATCCAACAGATTAAGCTATCCTTGTTGACCCTACTATACTAATGTCACAGTGTTTATATGCAGTGATTATGATACACCAACAAGAAATTGAAGGTGGGGAAGAAGGAGAGTATTGTTAATGGGTAAAATATATAGCAAGTGAAAAGGAGATTAAGTGGGAATGGTGACAGGTTTCAGAGTGTCAATTCCTCAGAGATCTGGCAGGAGATTCCAGGTCAGTATGACCAAGTCCTTAGTAATATGCAGTGTGAGAGATTACAGCTAAATTCATATTGCTAAACTAGGGTGTGAGAACACAAGTACAGATGGACTGGGTGGTGTATAAAACTAACTGTAGTGCTGACATTAACATACTGCAGCTCAGCCACAATAATTAGCCTTTCATTGAGATTTAGTCTAATATTATTATTCCATGTTACTGGTAACATTTTGGTTCATTTTATCATTTGCATACTAATAGTATGATTGAAAAAATGTTGTTTGATCCACAATATAGAATTCAGTTGCAAACCTATGTTGATATATGCATTTACCATATGTCCATACTCAAAGACAGATACCAAAACCAGAGAAGACCTGTATTCTTACCTCCACCTGGTCACATCCATGAACCTTCCTTATCATATATCATCTGATGCTTGCCTGGAGGATATATTATCTTCACAGGTTGCAGTTGCTTTTACAGTAGAGACCCTTGTCTCTTCAGCTGGTACTGTCAAGTTTTCTGCCAGACCACTCCTTGTACATGCAATGTAAACCCTATTGCAAACATGTTAATACCATGCCATAATATTGCTATCTGTGGAGGCATGATATTGGTCAAAAATGGTCTTATGGTGAAGAATGGGGGGAAAAGGTAGAGAGCTCCAAATAGACTCTTTAATTAAAACTAACTGGTGGTATAAACAAAGTAGAAGAGACATTACAACTGTAACTACTGAGTGAAAGATGCTGCACTCTATAAAAAAAATGATTTACTAATCAAATAATCCTAGTCTTACACTGGAAACAGGTCTGCCTAGAGGACTTCACTATAACCTTACATTCAACATGTTTGGTATGTGACATTACTATCACAGCACAATGGGATCCACACCCGTGTACAGTGATTCTGGACCTTCTGGGCATGCAACCAATCAGTATGCTTTCCAAGTACACCTTGGTAGCTTAGTTGGTAAAGCACCAGACCATGAAAGCTGGAGTCCCAGGTTCAAGCCCTGGCCAATGCATGTTTTCTCATACTATAAACAAATGTCATAATTTGTCAAGAATAGGGTTAATTTTTCTCACTGCACCATCTTCACCTGTAACCTCCATTCCTTTAGGTCCAGCCTCAATAAGTGGCTCCAAAATCATCTATACTGAGGCATGAAAAAGTCTTTGAACACGTACTATCTTCTCCTTTGTTGTCAAGCTTTTTTTCACCAATTTATTGACAGACAGATATCCAATAAGTACACAAGCGTGCTGAGAGGGTTTGTGCCTAATAGAGCTGGGTATATTGCCTAGTGTAAGATGTGCTCCCTGAGGTAGAAGAGCCTAAAATCAAAGAAATAAGTATGAAATTTAGAAAGGAAATATTGGCGTGAATATATTAACCTGTACAGAATGCCACCATTTCCCAGTCCACATCTTATTAATTATATGATTATCCCTGTTGCTGTTTGTGAATATTCTTAAGGGTTTATAGACTATGTCTGTCGCATGTGCTGGATTGCCCAACAAAGACGCAATGGCTTGTAAGGGGTCTCTATATTATATAAGGTGTTTTTCTTCTGGACGATCATCAAAGTGTAGATATTTTGAGTGCCATTTGGCCCTTTCAGGAATTCTGGAGTGGATAATTTTTAGAAGGCTTCTGCTATTTTGATAAGAAAGGCCCAGTCTCTGGGAAAGCTGGCATAAAGGTTGGAGGTCAGTTAACATAAAACATGAATCAAAGTGTGGAGGCGTCACTCACTTCAGGAATTGCCAGTAATCTGTCAAGAGATTTCTGGCCAACCCCCTCCTGCAATGCCCAATGTGCAAATTTCCAGTCTAATTCTGTGGAAAATGGAGCCCATCTATTATCTGGAAGATCAACGTCCATTTCATCGTCATCTTGATGTAACTGGTGAAAACTCTCCCTCCATTTATTATGAGCATCCAGATCCACCCTTATAACCTTGCCAGCATTCTCATTTTGTTCCACTACTCTTTCATCATTGTCATCATTGTTATCCAGATTAAAGTGCAGGGAGTGGGGGTGACATGAACTGCTAGCCTGCATCTCTGGGTCAGGGTTCAAGTTATACTGGATGTTGCCTTGCATTGCAGGATCATTCAGGAAATTGTTAAATGGTTCTTGTAAGCTGTTGAGGAATATATCTTCTGACCCATCTGAGTCATAGTCTTCTTGGTCATAAAAATTTTCATCCAAGTTGACTTCATCAAATACTACTTGTTCAGGGCCTAGGTTGTCTGCCTCAAGTTCTCTTCTCTTTCCTTTCCTATACCAAGCACAAATCGCTGACATTGATAGGTGAGCCATGATACCTTGTGGTGTTTTCAAAAGTTTTCCACATGCAGGATATGTGTGATCAACCATACTTGGTATGTGTGCCATTTTCTCCTTGAACCTAAACTACACCATACACATCCAGTCAGTTTATGAAATAATAACACCAGTTAATATGAAATTGATACCTTTGATTATCTAGGACCTCTTTGTAAATATGCTCTCAAGATGCAACACCTGAATCTGCACCGGCAATATCCCAAATTGGAAATATGTAGTGGTAAAACATAGAATTTGCTTGTTCTAATACAAAGAGACTTCATACATGCCTAAGTACAATATTGTTTACAAGTGCAGAGTACAAGAACAAGAGAAGTAATACATATAATGTTGTCCGTGTCCGTTTTTCACTTCCTCCTTGTGATATTGTTGCTGGAGCTACCTACACTCAATTTCTGTCAAACAAGCTGACCCACTTCTTCTTCAGAGTGAAAAGGACTCCTTCTCCTAGCTGCCTTACCACAACTTCGGGGGGCTTTATTGTGATCCTGAAAACGTCTATGTGCCAGATTAGCTACAGATCCTTGAAAAGCCTGAAGAAAATTGTCAAAATCCAGCTGGATATTGAAGACTGAGAGATCCATGGAAGATATCTCTTTAGGCAATACTTGGGGGTGCAAATGGGGAGTAGGTAGAGTAGTGGTGGGCATGCGTGAATGGGTACCACTCTGAAGAGGACAACCAGTGTGGTTTGCTATCAAATCCTGGGTAGCAACCTCTAGCGCTGCCATCTGAGCAGCTGCACTTTCAGCTTCTAGGTTAGCAACAGTCTGGGGCGCACTCCTCATAATCTTCTCCATCTCCAAAATTGACCTGGTAATAACATGATTGAAAACTTCATTGAATTTGTCCTTGAGTGGGATAGAGTTGGCCCACATCTATATTAGGTACCACCCTCTGTACGTATGTTATATTAGTCAAAGAAGATTGTGATCAAGAGGGGACCCACCAGTACTACGGGCATAGGAAGATCCCGTGCGTAGCCCTCCTTCCCTACAACCTTTGGGTCCTTTTCATACAGGTACATATCCACCACAAATCTACCTGCCCATGTTACGCTGTCAGCTGTCCTCAGAGGGCCATATTTGATATTGTCATCCTTTTGTAAGTTGTACCAATACTGCATGTTGACGGGTTCAGCGTACCCATATTGGGGCTTTGCGTATTTGTGGGACTCGTAGAATTTGACCACTAGAATGCCAACAAGGTGGGGGAGCTCCTCCCAGTACTTTTTCACCTTCTGGGTGATGTCCCCAAGTGACTGGGAGTGGGAGACCTTGACAATGAACAAGTCCTGCCACTCAGTGCTAGGGTTGAGGCTTTGGAACCTGAGGGCTAAGTCGGGTACAGTGGTGATTTGACCTCGCCGAAGGAACTTGGATGTATTGGGGTTACACTTGAACTTCCCATCTGGCCGTCTGATAAGGCCTGATAGTTCCCCCTGTAAAAGGTCACTGAGGCGCTCGATGAAAACTTCATGTACAGGAGTAGGCATGCTCAGTTGCAAGATGCCTTTCACATGGTCATACATATATCTGGAAGTAAGGACATAAGTACAGTATATTCACTCACGAAAAAGCATACCTTAGAGTGCTGTAGTCACTTTCTCTGAGCTTGTCCACAAACTCAGGGAAACTTGATGGTTCAATATAGAATTGCTAGGGGGAAAAATCAGATCAGGAATGTAGCCAGACAATAATTTCTCACCTGGACATATACGTCCTGAGAATTATACTTCAAGTTCCTAACAATTTGCTCAATGATAGGCTGGACTTGATCCTCAGATGTAGTGATTAGTGCAGTATGGGTGGACATTGAAAGAGTGGATGTTGATAGATACTCTGGGGAGTGGCAAAAGAGCGTTGTTGAGTAGCTGTGCATTGCCATCAGGTAATTTTTTGAAATTAAATAACTGACTTACCTTGTGGTCCAGGAGAGGACTTTGACCGAGTAATAGAGGGGGTGTACCAGTAGGTAGCACCATTTCCAGTGGAAGTGGAGGATATTGCGTACATGGGGAACAGGTGCATTTTTGTAGACTGAGAATGGGATGTTCTGCTGAAATACATCTCAGTACTCAGCCAACCAAGTAAGTAGTTTAAGAAAACCCAGGAAACTCACCTCATATCTAAATATTTGCACCAATATGTAGGTGTTAGCGGGCGGGCAAGGAAGAGAATGATTCAAAAGATGATAAATGGAGAGCCGCCCACATCCACAGTTGGATGTGTGCGGTCGCATTTCCATGCAGTGTGAGAAAGGGGACAACAGCTGATCTTTTTTCTCACACTGCATGGAATCAACAGGTTGCTATTGTGAAAACCTGATAATCACTATGAGAAAAATAGTAAGTCTCTGTTCATTCCACCTCAGTATCAGCACTCACTGCATATGATTGCAATAATAAATACCCAATGAGCCGTGAGAGAATGGACAGTCTGACCGTCCATTCTTGCACGGTCCAGCAGATTGTTGATTTGATGTTATCAGCATTGCAACGCCTTATCATATTGTTGTGTAACCAAGGTCAGGCTGCCATACATTTTCCCACAGTCTTTGTAGTATACTGAAGATGTACAGATTTACTATTTCGGCATTACAGGTCAAGATCCTTGCTCAGATACTGGGTCAGCAACTACTGCCAACAGAGCTGATGGATTTTCACGCCCAACTGGTGGGTATCCTAAGCACGCTCACTCCTGCTGACCTCTTTGCATTGCTAGACAAAGTGGCTCCATCCTCAATGGTTCCATCGTCACTTTCTGATAGCCCACCTTTTGTCACCATCAACACCTAACCATATCATCCCCAGCCCACTCTGGTGAAGAGGTATGTTGGCTCTCCCCTCCTAATGCCAATGTTACTGACTATTGTTTCTCCACAGCAAACTCAAGCTGACAAATTACAGACCAATCAATCTCTGCAACAATCTCTGACAGTGATTCGCTCACAAAGATGCCAACCACGTCAACACCCATATGCTGCTGCAGCTCCTACTCCTACTCTTGCACATCGATCTTGTTGATCTCCATCTCCTGCATGTCAACAACCTGCTCCTGCCCCTGCTCCAGCTCCTGCACATTGACGGCCTTGTCTTGTCCAGTAATCTCTGTGGCAAGCAGTCAACGACCCTGCTATTAGGATCAACTCGGCCGTCGACTCTTTCATAGCACGACTTGCGGCTGCACATGAAGACTCCTCAATATTCAACTCAGGAGAGTTGGCACACTCTGTCAACTCCCTGTTGACCTCTGTTACGTCCACCAATGACTACCTGGACGAGTCTTTGGCTTCTGTTGTGGCGCGCTGTTAGCGCATGAGCAGTAAAGACATAGGTGTCAACTTTTTGCTGATGATCAGCTACATCCAGTTTGTTGCCAAGTCCAAAAGGTAAGTGAAAATTGTTACAAATAATTATCATTTTCTTTCTGATGTTTGTATGCTAGTCCTTGGTCTCAGGAAGGTATCTCCCTGGCAAACCTTTGGAGGGATTTCCCTCAGCCCAAACCGTCTAAGAAACAGTTTGAGCAATGGCATGCTATGGGCTGCAAGTTTGCAGCCATAGCAGCCGGTGGTAAGATGGCCTTTGTCCGCATTAAACCATACTTACAGATCTATATAGGATCTATCTATGCCCTTGTTTTGGTTGCAGGCTTGAACTTACAGGTTCAACTTGGTGAAATGGATGGAATGACGCCATGGGGGATAGCCAATGTCTTTAGGTGGCCAGTTTAATGTAAGTGTACTACTTCTTACTGCGTGTATCCTAACTAAACAATGTCATGCAGCTACTGTTAGTGGACAGCTGGTGATTAGTAGAATCATCCCAACTATTTCTAGCTTACACCAAAACCTGCCACTGAACATGAACTGCATATTCACACCTGGCGTGCTCAGTTATTATGGCCTCCCTGCAAATATTGATTGCACAAATTTTGAGGCTTCTGATCAATTTTTTAAGGCTATCCGGTTCAAGTACGTTACAATCATTTGATTCTAACAGTCTCTGATTTTTTTTTGGTTTTTTGTATTACTTTCCAACTCTTGGATCCTCATCTAGATTGTTGGGGAGTCCGTATGCGCACTATAGACATAGCTCATGTACCCATACATCATCATGGTCAGGCTATCTTAGGTGTAGGTACAACATCTTCAGTACGCTTCCTGACTCCCTTATCCAATCTTGATGACATCCTGCCTTATTCTCAGCCACTATCATCATCATTACCACTAGTTGTCCTCCCTGAAATGTATGTGGTTAGCACAACATTCCAGAATATGGCTGAAGGCAATCGCCAATACTCTGCACCACGGGATCCTGGCACTAACTACGAGTGGACCAAATCAGAAAGTGAAAGGGCTAGTCGAGCCATCAAGGTCACAGATGTGGAGGACCTGACAGCCAAGGTATATCATTATCATGTATGTAGTGTATGCAATCTCAATACTTGTTCTTAGATACAGAAACATTATGATGGGGGTGTTCATACAGACCCCTCAGCATACTTGTATATACCATCCTCAATAGTTCCCTCCATCCCTCTTCTCTTGAAAAACAGCAATGATTCGCTCATGTTATTTTTAAACAGCTCTATGCCAGAATCAATCCGCACCACTCTCCTGCCTAACTTCCAGTCCTGCCTAGGCTCCACCACATCTCTACATCATGTAGACTCAGCTGTTGAAGGTAAAGGCTTCACATTTGAAGCTCTACATTTTTCTTGGTACAACCGCCATTGTACAAAAGTGAGTTCTTTTTTTTTCCATTTACAAACTATGCTGAATCAATGAAGGGAAATGATGCACCCAATGATATCCTCCCTTTGATGATGAGGAGAAAGTATGCCTAGAGGACAACTTATTTGCAGCTTGTCCCCTATACATCCAAGGAGATTCAAGACCACACTGACATTTACCAGAGACATAAAAATGTATTTGCTGATCTCTTTGAATGGATAAATGAAATGGTGAGTGACATTGTTTCTGGTTAATTTACAGGATAATCTGCTGATACCATTGATGTAGCTTGCTACTTATCTACCTGCCAAATATTTGGTACTCAAACAACATGCTGAGTTACTCTTTGGTAACAACACCTCTGCTGTTTGCCCATTCTTAGGTCTTGTGGTCAATATCAATGTTTCAACCAAGGCTCACAGGGATGCCAAGGACAAACTCTTTTGTCTAGTCATACCACTGGGTAAGCATGAAGGGGGAGAGCTTTGTCTTGTTGAGCTTGGCCTGGTGTTGCAGATAAGAGAGGGGGATATTGTGCTCTTTTGCTGATGTGATATAACTCATTTTAACTTGCACTTCAGAGGGCAGAGGGGCTCAATTGTCTTGCAAACTGACAAGGAGATGTATAATTGGAGGAATGGGCAAAACAGATGGGCTGGTCATTCTTCTTGACATTGATAACCATGGACTTTGTACTGCATTTTGTCTTTTTGACCTTGATACTCTTAGACATTTACCAATTGTTTGATCCAGAGTTTGTCACTAATTGTACTAGTGTATATTTGTTTGTTGTATCACTTTTGAGAAGAAAGTTGAAAGGTGTGAGGGATGAAATGTTCCACTGTTTGCCAATTTCTCATTTTCTATATCTTTTACCTCTGTCTCTGTCTACTATTTTGGTGATGGCTGCTAGCATAAGATCTGGGCAGAACAAAACTCAGGGGAGTAAGTCCAAGAAGCCTTTAACTAAACATTCCAGGGCTCAAAGGACATCAAACTCTTCCAATAGGCTTACACAAGATGAATAAATCTTATACAGCCAACTGATGAAGAAGTTGCAAACATCTGAAAAGGATGCAAATGCTGACAGGCTAGCAGGTGAGTCATTTAATATGTGTTATGTATCATGTCCATTACATAATACACTTCCCAGATATTTGTCAGAAAACAGCTCACATAATGGATACTAAGGATGGTGAGGAAGAAGGAGACTTGGATAGGCCTGACATTGATAGTGAAGATGAACCTCTTCATAAGAGGGCCAGGAATAGCATGGAAGAGGAACTAGAAGATGAAGATGAAGATGCTCTAATGCAGACCTTTAGATGCTTGACAGGCAAGTAACTCAACCTTAGCTATAAGCTTTACTAATACAGCATCATCAGAAGAAAGCTCACAGCAAGTTACTCCGTCGCCTTCATTGACCCAGGAGTTGGACAATCCTTGCTACGAACAAATGGTCTCATCATTGCGTACCAATGTGAGTTTTACCTTTTTTTGCTAGTTCACTGATCCACATATACAGATACAGATTACTGCATCACCAGCTGAAAGTGTTTGGTTGGTCAACAATAACCGTAAAAGGAATAGCAGTAGTTCTCCTTCATTGACGCCTTCCAGAGATTCCAAGGTAAGTGTACAATAAGTTTAAAGATTATGAGGCTTATATTCTCCAAAGGCCATCATCACTAGCTTTAGTCCTACCAGCTCCAGGCTGGCTAAAGCAGGACATTCTCAAATGTGTGTCATTCTTTCTACTGTAAAAGGCTTCCCAGGTACTGATGAACGAGATGAACTTGTTTGGAATGCAATCATCAAAGTTGCCAGTTCTTCTTCGCTATTCAAGACTACCATAGTAGATTTGGAGAATGCAAGGAATGAGCAGAAAAAAAGTAGAATCATCGATTATGTGAGTGAGAACAATGCTTCCAATATTACTAATATTAAAATTTTAGACAGGTGTGGGCAGCTGCAGCTCAGCTTAGAGGTGAAGTCAAACAAAAGGCTAGGATACTCATTCTCTCAGAATATGCCCTCAAAAACAAGCTCCCAGAGGAAGTACGTACTATAGTGGAGTGGTTGTTGAGTAACGGAAAAGGTGTCTTTACATTTGGTGGTTTGGATGTTTCTGTAAGTGTTCATATCTACTCTTCTCAAACGTTTTATGACTATGTATATCAGACTTATTCATATGATAAGCAAAAACCTTTTGGACATCACATCATCAAGCTACTACTTCAGGTTCAGTGGTTTCATAAAAAGGGGGAGGGCGTTAATAAAACTAAGTGAAACTCAGCCGCTGCCCGAGAGGCTATAGAAACGACTTTACTATTTACCTAAGTGAAACTACAATAGATGTTAGTTTAAAATAATCTCTAATAAATGTAATGTAACATACCTCAGCCGCTGCCCAAGAGGCTATAGAAACAACTGAGGTATTCCTATACTAAACCCCCTACTACTTATAGTCGGAGGTGCTACTCGCTACAGTATAATGACTCCTAGGAGTACAATTGTGCTCCTAGGAGAACAATGGTTACTCCATGGAGTGGTGGCTATGCTCCATGGAGAACAATGGCTGCTTCGGCAGAGACCAGGTTTATCCGGTTTTGTCACTCCCACTCGAGTGCAACCATAGTCCCATAGCTTTAGAGAATTTCCAGTGTTTTTCATGAGTGAGGGGTTTAGTGAGAATGTCTGCAACCATATCTCCTGTAGGAACGTATCTGATTACTGCCTCTCCCTTTGATACTAAGTCATCTTGGATAAAATGATATTTCCGTTGAATGTGTTTTGTGCGAGCACGGAACTGTGGATCTCGTGTAAGAATGATAGCTGCTTGATTGTCACAGTGCAATGTTGTAGGTCCATTTTGAGCATGTCCAATTTCTTCAAAAAATGTCCAAAGCCATGCAAGGTGTTGTCCAGCATTGCTCAATCCAATGTACTCTGACTCCGTGGAGGATAAAGCTACCATGCTTTGTCTTTTGCTTGTCCAGGAGATTGCTCCTCGGATGATGATAAAGACAAACCCTGATGTTGATCAAGACGTGTCTGGGTCTCCAGACCAATCTGCATCTGAATATCCATAGAAATCCATGTCCATGGAGACATCTGTGCCATCATACCGTAGTTCCATGTCCCTGGTTGCTTTCAGATATCAGAGGACACATTTTGCAGCTTCCCAGTGATGGCTCCTTGGAGCTGAGCTATGCCTGCTTGATATTCCAACAATGTAGGCAATGTCTGGGCGGGTTCCGAGCATGGCATACATAAGGGAGCCTACAATTGAGAGGTATAACACTTGACGCCCTTCAATATGCATTTTGCATTGCACAATATCTTCCCCTGGAGCATTTGCAAGGAGTTTTGATCCATGGGCCATTGGTGTCCATACTGGTTTGCAGTTCTTCATTCCAGTACACTCCAGGACTGTGTCAATGTATTGGCGTTGCAATAGGGATATTGTTTTGTTTGAACGATCACATTGGATTTCTATTCCGAGGATGTATTTTGCTTCTCCAAGGTCCCGCATTTTGAATATGGATTCAAGTTTGGCTTTTGTGATATCCATGAATTTTCGGGATGAAGCTCCTAGGAGGAGGTCATCTACATAGACAACAACAAAGCATATTTGTTTGTTGTCCTGGAATACATAGAGACATGTTTCTGCATTTAGTCTTGTGAAACCGAGCTCCTGGAGCTTGCGATCAAAAGTTTTGTTTCATGTACAACCAGCTTGTTTTAACCCGTAGATGGATTTCTTCAATCTCCAGCAGTATCCAGGTTGGATAGGAACACCCCTTGGAGGAAGCATGTACAGTTTTTCTTCAAGTTCTCCATTGAGATAAGCTGTGGATACGTCCATTTGATCAAGTTCTAGGTCGTACTTTGCTGCCAGGGCTAGAATAATTTGGATTGACTCTAAGTTTGCAACCGGAGCAAAAACCTCCTGGTAATCAATCCCCTCCCTTTGAGTAAAACCTCATGCAACAATCCGGAGTTTGTATCTCTCAATGTTTCCGTTTTGATCAAACTTGATCCGGAACACAGGTTTTGATGTGATGGGTTTTACTCCCTTCGGAAGTGGAACAGTGTCATATACTGCATTAGTATTGAGATTTAGGAGTTTCTCCTCCAAGGCAGACTTCCATAACTCTCCATCCGGACATGATAAGGCTTCCTTTAGTGTCCTTGGAAGGTCTGTGTTAGATGGACCGGTACTTGCTATTCCAGCAAAGAATGTCTCCTCTGTATCAGATGTTTCTTCATGAACCTCAGAAGTGTTAGGTTTCTCCATGGAGTTGTCATGCTGCTCTTTTCGAGACTGTTCCTCATCTAAAGTCCTTTGATAATCTCGGTTTTTGTCTGCAGGACGGGTCTGGCAACTGCTTCTGCGTACTCCTAGGACTTCAGCAGGCATGACTGCTCTTTTAGGAACTTGTGCAGGTACTCCAGGGAGTAGATGCATTTGTGTATTTGTTGCCCCACTCACTCCTGAAGGTGTTGAATCACTCCTCGGAGGCGTTGTATGCCTTCCAGAAGCTGATCCAATGGACAGGCTGTCTAGCTGTATTCGGACTTTTTCCACATCACCTGGCTGTATGTTGAGGGGCTGGTCTCCCACTGACTGTAACTCTACTTTGGCTTTCCATTCTGAAGATGGCCAGTGTTCAGGTCTTGGTTGTAGAGACTGTTGTGGAGGGTGTCTTAGCTGATCTGGTGCTCCCACTGCTCTCAGAACATCTTCATGCTGATATGGTTCCATTGCTTGTGGAACATCTCCTTGGAGATGTGGTTCCATTTGCAATTCATTTGGATCTCGGATCCGAGGGTCAGGGTCATCCTCCTCCAATGTTTTTTGGTCTGGATAATGAGCATTCTCTGGAATGAGTCCCTCTCACTGATCTGTGCTAGTGTCTGTGTTCCAGGGAGCAGTGTCATCCTTTTGTACCTTTCCGGATTCATTGAATCTGACATGCTGACTGGAAAACACAGTCCGTTTTTCAGTGTCTAGGAGTTTGTAGGCTTGCTTTCCATGTGTGTAGCCAATCATTATGGCTGTGCGCCCCTTGGAGTAAAACTTCCCTTGCCTTTTGTCTTTCGGAATCAAGGCATATGCTTGGCATCCAAAAGGGCAAAACAAAGTTGGATCAACTCTCCTTTTAAACAGTATTTCATATGGGGTCTTTCCATGGAGTCCTGATGCTGGGCTGCGTGCTGTGATATATGCAGCTGTTTGCATGGCATCTACCCAAAATGACTTTGGGAGCTTGGAATCATGGAGCATAGTGGTTGCTAATATAGCCAATGTCTGATTCATGCGTTCTGCAATGCCATTTTGTTCCAGAGTATCTGCAGCTGTAGTTTCTTGGATGACACCATCTCCTCGGAGTTGATTTTTGAATGCATTGCCAGTATATTCTCCTCCCCCATCGCTCCGGAGGAATTCTGTGTATAGTGGAGTGAAGTTTTCTTCTCCCAAATGAGTCCAGAAGAATGTTTGGACATCTTCTTTCCATTGCTTGTATTGTTCCAGTGCTTCGCTTTTATGTTTTAGGAAATATATCCATGGAAATTTGGAGAAATCATCTACAATGATAATCCAGTACCAAAAACCCTCCCTGGAAGTTAGTTTGATTGGTCCTCCAACATCTGTGTGCACAATTTGTATGGGGCGCTTGGCTCGGTTTCCTCCAGTGGACTTGAAAGGTAGTTTCTTCATCTTTCCTAAAGCACAAGGTTCACAAAACTCCGGGGTTCCGGTAAGGGTGTCTATGTCCTGGAGCTGTCCTTTTGTAACCATTCATTGCAAGCGGTCCATTCCAATGTGTCCCATTCTCCTGTGCAATAAATTTACATCTACTGCTGCAAAAGCTGACTCCGGGTTGATTTCGGGTTTTGCTTGGATGTGATAAAGTCCTCGCTTGTGTAATGCAGTGAGGATAAGTTCCTCCCTTTTCCGAACTTCACAAGCATTTGACCCTGCTGGAAAAAGTGTTGATAACCCTGTTTTGGACAATTTGTGGACAGAGACGAGTGCTAACGTGAAGTTTGGCACAAGTAAGACATTTGACAGTGCAATATTGTAGTCCTTTTTGCCAACAGTTGCTTGTAGGATTACTATCCCAATGCCAATGGCATTTACAGAGGATTCATCCCCAAAACTGATTGTCCTCGGAGGATGCAGAACATGGTATGTTCCTGGCTCAAACCAGGAGCGGTGAGGGACCATGTGGGATGTTGCTCCGGAGTCAATAATAATTGTTGTTTTGGTCTAATCGGGTTCCGACACAAGGTAAGCTTGAATGCGTTTAGCAAGGGGCTTGGAAACATGTACATGATCCAATGCAATATGACTCTGTTCCTCCTCGGAGTCAGATCCAGATGATTGCTTCGCTGTATTTGCCTTTTCCTTCTTCCTTTGTCCTTTTTCAGAGATATGGTCCTGGATGATTCCATTTGCCTTCTCATCCTTAAGTATCCAGGTGATCTTAGGATCCTCCGAGGAGGAAGGTTTTCCTGGTGAGGGCTTAAGCTCCTCTCCAGTAACAACCCGGAGAACTTTTTCCCGACGTAGCTTTGAGATGATCCGGAGTTTCCATATCTGAAAATTGTTGGGTCCAGTGAGACCTGGACATGCAGATGTATCGCGTGCTATGGTCATGGTTCCGAGGTTGCCGTTTCAAATAAGAATTATTTCCTGTGTAGCTTTTGCGCACCAGGGCTCATAACCTAATAAAACTAAGTGAAACTCAGCCGCTGCCCGAGAGGCTATAGAAACAACTGAGGTATTCCTATACTAAACCCCCTACTACTTATAGTCGGAGGTGCTACTCGCTACAGTATAATGACTCCTAGGAGTATAATTGTGCTCCATGGAGAACAATGGCTGCTTCGGCAGAGACCGGGTTTATCCGGTTTTGTCACACTGGACCACAATGAAAACAACATTCAAAAGAGTAATGAGAAGGAGGGATTTCCCCTCAAGGTGCGACCGAGTTAGTTGTTGGTAGACAACAGGAGGACTCGCTGAGTCCTTCCCCATGTATTGCTGCTGTATATATACTAAAATACATGAGGTACTGTACAGTTGTAAATAAAGTTTAAAGTCCAATGTTTAGCATGTGACCAGTCACATGGTGAGCATAGACACTGGTCAGGTGATGTGTCACATGACCAGTCATGTGACTAT